GTAGGGAAACCAATTCAGAAAGTAGTTGAATAGCATTGAGTGAAATAGCATTGGAGGATGTTTTACAGCTGTTAACCAAGTGAGAGAATGAGAGCATGGGCAAAGAAACTGGAAATAGACTGAAAGGGAATGTGAGGGAGGTTGTGGAAGTATCATTGGCAAATGATTATATATGTGGAGAAATAAGGAAAGGGAATAGCTGAAATTACTGAGGGCTGGCCCTGTGACTTAGTGGTTAATAAATTAGGATCCCACATGGCTGAGCACAGTTAAGCGTCCTGGCCCCAGCAGTTTGAACGTACTGGATGCATGTACATGGCATGTGCAAAGTCTTGATAGGGAGAAATGGAAGAGAAGATAGCTTGACCAAACCCTGCTGGGGGGAGATGCTCTCCCCCCATCTTTATATTTCTCTGGTGAGTGCATATGCCCTCTAGCAATAAAAAAATTAAGTGTGGGAGGATGGTGAAGCCACTGGAAATAGATATGAAGGTTTGGCCATACTTGGAAGATGCTTGTATTACATCACATCAAAGCACTGTGTCTTGGCATACAGCTTTACACTGTACTGGATATTCCTTTTTGCCCTTCATGACCTGCCCCTCCCCTTTCCCTTGCTTTTTGTTGCTGGAAAGTTAACTTCTGTAGAACTGTTTTATTCAGTTTGGATTTAGACAGTAAGGAGATCTGGAGGGTGACAGGTGAGGTCAGGGTATTTTTTCTCCTCTTCCCCAAATACACATCCTCAGCAACAAATAACCAGTGCCACAACATTATTCGAATTATTCTAGCTCTTTTCTGGCTTCTGGTAACCCCCGTCTCATTGCTACTTCAGACTCCCTAGCTCAAGAGAGTTCACCAAACCTTGTTGATTTTCTTGAACTTTGTCCACACTTTTATGAACAGTTACTTTAAAAAACTTCAACAATCGTGCCATTTATTTATTGTCATCTCTTTGGTGAAACTTGTTTAACTACTTCCATATTTTTTTATAACTTGATTTCCCAGACATTACCAAACTTGGGGAAGATCTAGCTGTTCACACTAGGTCACTGTTCTTACCTATCATACTTCCTTATCTGAAAATGTCTCCCTATTTCCTACTATGTTAAATTAAAATTATTTCTCTCGTACTTGATAATTACCCTGGAAATACAACAGAGACCAAAAGACATAATTTCCTGCCATCATGGAGCTTGTATTTTAGCGGGGAGAGATAGATAATAAAACCTATGGTATGTTAGAAAATGAGTGGTATGGAAAAAATTAGGGTTAGGAGTCAAAGGGCTGCAAGACAAGATAATTACAAGAATAGTGTAATTCAAAATAGGGTTGTAAAGTATGTCTCTGAGAAAGTGACATTTGAGCAAAGTAATTGTGAGCATGAATGTTAGATACTTAGAGGAAGAACATTCTAGTTAGAGGAGTAAGTTTCTGAGGAAGAGCAAGTAGTTCAGGGAAGCTGTAGTTGAGAGAAGAGAAAAGGAGAGTACCTGATGATGTCAGAGAGAGGCCAGATCAAGTAGGTATTTGTAGGCTGTTTTATGGATTTTGTCTTTTACTAAATGAAAAGTGAGCAGTTTCAGGTCTTTTAAGGGAGGAGTGCCATGATCTGATCTGAATTTTAAAAGATCCTCCAAGTTTTTCTTAAAATTCTTTGAAACATTTGCTTTCAATGAAGGTTTATGAGAAAAGCAATCAGAATTACTTGGAGTAAGGTATAAAAGGCTCAGTCGCTTTAATGCTTCTATAGTTACAATCACTTTAATTCATATATACACACACACACACACTTGGGCCAAAAAACCAACAAAATATGTGTATGTGCATGCATAAATACCTTGTATGTACACATGAATATATGTATTTGTTTTTTGAGAGATGATAAACTATATATATACATGTATAGTATATATAGTATACATATTGTATAAATTATACACATACGACATACTATATATATTATTTTTTGAGAGAGGATGTATTTTGCCTAAAATCTTTAATCGTTCATATGCAGAACAAGTTAACCTATCAGGCCTGAGTTAGCATATCTTAGATGTATCTTCTTGCAAGTTCTTTGGCATTGTGTTCGTGTAGGCCGTTGTGTGTGTGTGTATGGTATTTATTGTTAAAGGTAATTTATACTTGCCAAAGAGAATGACAGGGAAGGAGAAAACACACTCTGTTCAAAATCCCTTCTCCATCCTGTCAGGGTTTTGGGCATGCACTCGCACACCCCTGATGTGTTCATTAAGTGTCTAGGGCAGGGTCTTGAACCATGGCCAACCAGGTGGGTGGCTGGCTCCCTTAACCACTAGACTATAGGGCCAGTTCCATATAGGGTATATATAGGAACTATTCCCATCTTTCCTGATAGGTAGTTCATTGTGCATAGAACAGTGTTAATAAGCAATATGATTTATACTAAACACCTGCTTTCCTTCTGAGACTCTGGTATCTCTCAGGCAAAGGTGCCTGTGTGACTAACACCTCCTGAAAACCTTGAGTACAGACTTTGCACCAAAATATCACACAAGAATATGCACCATGTAAGTCCTCATGAGGAGGAGAGATCATAAAGCTGCACATGGATTTCTCCAGACCGCCTGGATGATCTGACTATACGCTTAGAGTCACTGTAATTAACTTTAGCCATAATCACAGTACTTAACAATGCTGAGGTCTGTGAGTTCTAGTGAATCTCTGAACATGGGGTTGGTCTTGG